ATTCAAGTGACCTAGACTGATAAAGTTTGAGTTAGGAGTAAAAAGTGTATCTTGCCTTCTGATGTTCTGGTCAAGCTAGTGATCTGGAAACTTCCTATGTCCTACAGGTTCTTCATTGAAGGCCAGTCCAACTCTCTGTCTGTTAACAAAACACAAAGGAAAGTTAATAAAAGATCGTTTAATTGCCATCTAATGGCGAAGAAATATGAAATTTCAAACAGAAAAAGAAATTTAATGCATTCCCAAGTGAAAAAATTTTCAAACAAATCACTTAAAAATTGCCTACAAATTGCTTTAAAATCACTTAAAAGTGATTTGTTTCAGTGATTTGTAAGCAATTCATTTAACAAATCATGCTTAAATCACTTTCTACCAAAATGATGACTATGATTTGCTTACAATTTGTTATGAAAGGGTGATTTGCTTGTGATTTCTTTCCCATTTCAGACAATTTCTGAGTGATTTGTTAAACTTAGGAAATTGTTACAGTGATTTCTTCATGATTTGTTGAACTTAGCCGTTCTTCAAGGTGATTTGAAAATGATTTCTTGAACTTAGTCTTTCTTCAAAGTGATTTGAAGATGATTTGTTAACTTAGTCTTTCTTCTGGATGATTTGTAAATGATTTGTTGATCTCATGGTCCTTCTCCAGAGTGATTTGAGAGTGATTTACTTCACAACCTCCACCTGGCTTGCTGATTGGTCGGTACTAGAAACTCTACCGCCAATTTTCATTTATCAGATTTGAATTGAAATGAAAGGAGCTAGATTGTGCTGTTCTAGATTCATACCTCTCTTCTTTTGTTGAAACTGATGTTTTTCCCATAACCATGCAAAATATAGTTTTAAGGTATGTATAACTGTATTATGCCATCATTTCTTCCTTAGAATCAGTTAATATTCCATATGTTTACATGCAATTTATAATTGTTCTTCAGAAGACCAACAACAAAGTCGGTGGCAATTAATGTTTAAAACAAAATCTATGTAAAGCTATAAGCTTCAGCAAAGTACTGGCTTTTTCAAAGTGTCTACACAAATATTTGTTTCAGATAAGAAAAATAACATTTATCAACTTCTAAAAGTCAACAGTTATATGCTTATAGCATATTCTGAATTTGGAGCCAAGTAGTCATGTGTGTATATCTAAAATACATGATGCCATCTTAATTAGGACACATCCTAGTAAAAGTTAATATTTTAAAATACTCTTGCCAAAAGTGTTTTTGTTAATATATAACAAATATGCATGGATGTGTTTTTCAGATAGTTGAGGGATGGTTACATGAGCATCATGCACACACGTGTGTATGCACCTGGAGTGATTTGAAAGTGATTTGTTAAACTGAAGTGATTTGTTTGCAATTTACCGTATAGCGGGTTATTTTAGCGGGGTGCTAATTTTGGCTTATTTTGGCGTTTTGATGGCAGCCCGCTAAAATTTTAATCACTAAAATAGTCAATTAACAGTTAATTTAGTCTTCGTAGTGTACATCTGCGAGGAGATGAAACCCTGTGCCCGCTAAAATAAATTACGCCAAAATTATTGGTATACCTTTCAGCAGGCAAAACGCCAAATTTTACACCCGCCAAGAAAACCCGCTATACGGTATTTAAAATGATTTGTTTGCAATTTATTTGGAGTGATTTGGTTGCGATTTGTTCAACAGAAGTGATTTCTACACAATTTATTCAAAGTGATTTCGTTGTGATTTCAGGGTGATTTGCTTACAAATTGTTAGGAGTGATTTGTTAGCTCATTTGCATGGGAATTTGCATCACTTACAAATCATCTTCAAATCACTGATTCATAAGTGATTTCTTAAAGTGATTTGTTTGAGGATTTTTTTCACTTGGGTTATGTCTTATTCTTATGTTAGGCAAAAGCTCATCACTTTCTTGGAACTCAATTTAAAACATTAATTCTCATGAACACTAGATTCAGTCTAGCCTTAATTCCTATTATCAAAGTCAGTATAAAGAGTTTAACAAAACTAATTAAAGTACTTTAAGTTATGGAATCTCTGAGAGTAAATTGAGTAGAGCTTGTACCTTAATTAATTATCTTCACTTCTACAGTAGGCTGCAGTTTAAATGAGTCTTTAAACTTGTCCATCAACAGGGAGAACTCTTCTAAACATTCTATCAAGACCAGTCTTGTCCCTTGTCTGTTAACACAAAATGTGTACAGATCAGTTAATAATAGTACAAAAAATTCAACAAGTGAGAAATAGGGTTATCAATTTACACAACACAAGGAGTGGATCTTACTTCTTACTGTTTTCTGTAGGCCAAAGTCAACTTCCAACCAGCAGTACTTCTTTCTCTGGTGTTAAACTCTTCCTAATCCAAAGAGTGGGAGACTGCAATCCAAGCTTGCTAAACCAAAGAGAGTTGAGAGTTAAACATGTGTTCTAATATTATACAGAGAACAGAAAACAGAAATCTAACAGCTTGTTTCTTACCACTTTGTCTGCTGGTATAATGGACATCCTGTATCCTGACAAAGGTCTCTTTACTCTTGGGATATTTCTTGTGCCCAGCTCTTGGTACTCTTGCTGGCAGGCGATTTAATTCTCCCAATCATTCATTGTGTAAGGGTCTGGTTATCTTGGTTTCTTCAAGACAGAGATTTTACATTATAAGAGACTCAGTCATAATCATGTGTGAAAAAACACAAACAACGGATTTAGGACATTGGATTTCAATCTTACCCTTCCATGGCTGGCTCCATTTGAATCTTTCTTGGTTGCACTTTTTCTATAGAGTGATAGATGGGTTCTCTACCACAAAATTGAAGTCTTCTAACCATTATTCTGCAAATTAAGAGAGTCAAGAGGTGTAATTTGTGTCCTAATTGGATTGACTTGCAAAAATAACAAAGAAATCCAAATATGTATCATTATGCGGCTTGTTTCTCACCACTTTGGCAAGTGTTGGCCATTGGTTTAGATACCTTTTATCCTGGCAATAGTTCCTATTCCTTGTGTGGTCCTCTTCTTCTTTGTGTAGTCCTCTTCTTCTTTGTGTGGTCCTCTTCTTCATGGTGTGGTCCTCTTCTTCCTTTTTTGGTCCTCTTCCTGGTGTGGTCCTCTTCTTCCTTTTTTGGTCCTCTTCCTTGTGTGGTCTGTCTCTTCTTTATGCGGTTCCTTCTTCTTTATGTAGTCCTCCTCTTCCATGAATGTCCCTTTTCTTTTTGTGTCATCAGTGTGTTGTCCTCTTCTTCATGTCTCCTCGTGTAGATGTCATCTTCCTTGAGTGGTCCTCCTTTTCAATATGTAGTCCTCCTCTTCTTTGTGTGGTCCTCCTCTTCCTTGTGTAGTCCTCATTTTCAATATGTAGTCCTCCTCTTTAATGTATGATCCTGTTTTTAGTTAATTGGTCGTATTCAATGTGGCATCTGTCCATACCTGCTGTGAACTGAAAAATTGTCAGGAAACAGTTTGTAATTATAGGATATTGAGATTTTAGATCAAAGGAGGTTCATTTTACATCAGTTAAGATGAGCACATAAATCACAATCATGTATAAAGAAGCATAAGCCATGGATTCAGCACATTTCATTTGTATCTTACCCTTTCTTCTGTGGCTGCCCATTGTGTATCTCAGGTCCCTGGACTGCTCCTTGTGGGTAATGGAAGTGTCCTCTATCATGGGATCAAAGCTTGTCTAACCATCATTCAGTTAAAATGCAGAGTCAAGAGGTCTAATGAATGTCAATATTGGATTGACTAAGAATAAATGATACCAATCAAAAACAGAATGTGTACAGATACAGTTAATAATAGGACAGAGAATTCAACAAGCGAGAAATAGGAATATCAATTTACACAACACAAGGAATGGATCTTACTTCTTACCGTGTCCTGCAGGCCAAAGTCAATTTCCAACTGGCAGTACTTCTTTCTCTGATGTTCAATTCTCCCTTATCCAGAGAGTGGGAGACTGCAATTTAAGCTTGCTAATCCATTTTTCTGAGAATATGAAAAGTTGAGAGTTAAATATGTGTTCTAATACTGTAAATGTATTATATTTAGCGTGTACGATATTTAGCGGAAAGTGATTTTTAAACAAGTTAACGTAGATTTGATTTAGCGCATTTCTTGATATTCTTATTTATGTTTCATTGTTTAAGACATTTAGCGATGTACTTGAATTAGCGGAAGTATTTTTCCGTCAAAAGCGCTAAAAAGAATACATCACCAAATGTAATACGTTTACAGTATTAGACAGAGAACAGAAAACAGAAATGTAATAGTGCAACTAATGCAGCTTGTTTCTTACCCCTTTGACGTTCATGGCTGCTGGTATAATGGACACTCTGAACCCTGGCAATGATCTCTACCTCCTAAAGAGTGATAGATAGGTTCTCTGCCACAAAATTGAAGCCTTTCTAATGATTATTCAATCATTAGGAAATTAAAGAGAGTTGAGAGATGTATTCCATGTCCTAATTGGATTGACTTACAGACATCCAACAATTTATCACATGCAGCTTGTTTATCAACACTTTGGCCAATGTTGGCCTTTTGGTTTTAAATTAGATACCTTGTATCCTGGCAATAGTTCCCCTTCCTTGTGTGGTCCTCTTCTTCCTTGAGTAGTCCTCCTCTTCTTCTTTGTGTGGTCCTCTTCTTCATTATGCAGTCCTCCTCTTCTTTATGTAGCCATCCTTCTCCTTGTGTAGTCATCCTCTTCCTTGTGTGGTCCTCCTCTTCCTTATGTGCTGCTCCTTTTCAATATGTAATGCTCCTCTTAAGTAAAGGATCCTATTTTTAGTGATTGGTCATCCTCAATTTGGCATCTGTCCATACCTGCTGTGAACTGAAAAATTGTCAGGAAACAGTTTATTCAAGCTCCAAATATTGAAGTAGTTGTAGGATATTGAGATTTAGACCAACAGAGGTTAATTTTACATCAGTTAACATCAGCACATAAATAACAATCATGTATAAAGAAGCATAAGCCATGGATTCAGCACATTTCATTTGTATCTTACTCTTTCTTCTATGGCTGCCCATTGTGTATCTCAGGTCCCTGGACTGCTCCTTGTGAGTGATGGAAGTGTCCTCTATCATGGGATCAAAGCTTGTCTAACCATCATTCTGTTAAAATACAGAGTCAAGAGGTCTAATGAATGTCAATACTAGATTGACTAAGAATAAATGATACCAATCAAAAACAGAATGTGTACAGATACAGTTAATAATGGTACAAAGAATTCAATAAGTGAGAAATACCAATATCAATTTACTCAACACAAGGAGTGGATCTTACTTCTTACCATTTCCTGCAGGCCACAGTCAATTTTCAACCAGCAGTACTTCTATCTCTGGTGTTTAACTCTTCCTAATCCAGAGAGTGGGAGATTGCAATCCAAGCTTGCTAGACCATCATTCTGAGAACATAGAAAGTTGAGAGTTAGTATATCTTATAATATTAGACAGAAAACAGAAATCCAATTGTGCAACAAATGCAGTGACTGTTTTTTACCACTTAAATAAATGGCTGCTGGTATAATGAATGCCCTGTACCCTGGCAATGCTCTCTACTCTGTGGGTATTTTTGGTGTCCAGCTCTTGGTACTCTTGCTGGCAGGTGATTTAATTCTCCCAATCTTTCATTGTGTAAGGGTCTACATATCTTGGTTTCTTTAAGACAGAGAGTTTACATTATAAGAGACTCAGTCATACATATCATGTGTGAAAAACACAAACAATGGATTGAGGTTATTTGATTTCCATCTTACCCTTTCTTCCATGGCTGTCTGCAGTGGATCTTTCTTGGTTGCACTCCTCCTCAAGAGTGATATATGGGTTCTTTGCCAAACAAGTAAAGCTTTTCTAACCATTATTCTGAAAATAAAGAGTTGAGAGATGTAATTTGTGTCCTAATTGGATTAACTTACAATAAAACATAGCAAACCAAAAATACATCATATGCAGCATGTTTCTCACCACTTTGGCCAATGTTGGCCATTTTGGTTTGGATACCTCATTTCCTGGCAATAGTTCCTATTCCTTGTGTGGTTCTCCTCTTCCTTGTGTGGTCCTCTTCTTCTTTATGTAGCCCTCCTCTTCCTTGTGTAGTTGTCCTCTTCCATGTGTGGTCCTCATATTTCATGTGTGGTCCTCCTCTTCTTTGTGTGGTCCTTGTTTTCAATATGTAGTGCTCCTCTACAGTGTATGATCCTATTTTTAGTTGATTGGTCAGCCTCAAATTGACGTCTGCCCATACTTGCTGTCAACTGAAAAATTGTCAGAAAACAATCTATTTAAAGCCTCAAGTATGGAAGTAGTTATATAAGATATTAGATTATGAGATTTTAGATAAATGATACCAAATGATGCTTGCCTCTTACCAATTTTGCCAAATGTTGGCCTGTTGGTTTAGAGGATCCCTTTATCCTGGCAATGGTCTCAGTTTATGATGTTCTTGCCAGCCCAACTAATCTGATAGCATGGAGAGTGGCGGATGATCCAAAGAGCATTCTTTGTGGTAAACCAGCAAACTCAGAGCACATATTATCAGCATGCTCAGAGGCTTTGAAAGATGGGAAATACACTTGGAGACATGATAGTGTCCTAGCCAGTATAGCTGACACATAAGAGAAAGGTACATGTATCAAAAAACCGAGAAAGGTATAAAAAAAAAAATCAAAGGAAAACACAGAGGGCCTGAAATTTGTCAACTTTCTGAAAGAAGGTGAAAAAGGACATAAAGTTAGTATAGTTAGTTTGAAGGAAGTGGTCTGCAGGGAACAGCAATAGATTGGCAGATGTGGGCAGGCCTCAAGGAAAGATTAGTATTTCCATCTGAAATAATAGCTACAAACAAGGCCGAATGTAATCATTCAGTCAGTGGCTACAAGGCAGACAATCATTTTTGAATTAACAGTGCCATAGGAAGATAGGATGGAGAACACACACATTAGGAATAATCTAAAGTATCAAGACCTTCTGAAGGATTGTCAGCAGAAAGGATGGAAGGTCTGGTTTTTTGCAGTGGAAGTGGGATGTAGAGGATTCGTGGGGCAGTCCATGTGGAGGGCACTGAGAGCCATTGGCATATCAGGAGCAGAGAGAAGATTGATAGGGAGTCTGTGCAGGGAGGCGTAATCAGCATCCATGTGGTTGTGGAAAAGAAGAGAGAAGTGGAAAGACAATAAATAGTAGTGAGATAGACAGTAAAATAGAATAGCATTGATGTTTATAAACAGTATTGAGAAAGACAGTAAAATGAAACAGCAGTGATGTAGAGCCAAGTGGTGCCAGGCTGGGACCTGATCACCCCAGTCGGCACACCTCTAGAGGCTATAGTGGACAGCGTGGAAACAGACGATGAAGGAGGATCCACCTGAGGATGGAACCCCACATCTTTCCATCAAGGTGTATACAAGTAATATTATTTGGGAAACCAGTGCCAGCCAGGCAAGTCTGGATGACAACTGAGAAAAGTTCAGTGACAACCTGGAGAGACAGGAGACAACCAGGAGAGACTGGGATCAGGGATGCAGAGGCATGAGAGCATGGGAAGATGAGCGACCTGTGTTGATGGATAATCGGGATGCAACAAGGCAACAAAAAACAATGACAACTTTGAACATTAGAATTGTATGCAGCTGTGGGAAAGTATGCATGAATTAAAAGGGGATTTTAATCCACATGGGGAGGGTGGGATGTAAGCCAGATCAGCAGCTAACACAAGACACAGGGCAACCTGGTGAGACGGAGGAGGAAGTGGTTCAGGACGAAAACCACAGTGACCGCAGCCTCCATGTGTTAGGTAATGACAAGGCTTCATACGGTGAAAGGCATGTCACAGCGAGGACAACAATCAATCACAGAGCAGCAATCAACAGCAAGAAGAGGTGAGAGACAACAGAGGTACTGACAGCAATGTAAACAAGGGGAAAGTAAAATGGCCAAACAGTAAAAAAGTGACTGGGAATGGTTTGATGTAGATGTGGATACAATTCTGAACACAACCCTTGCAGGCAGTTTTGACAGGAAAGTAAAAGTATGACATCAATTACACATGTATACAGCCTAGGTCTGGACAGGTTTGGCACAGAACAAAGGAAAAAGTAACAAAAAGAGAGAAGGAAGAACAGGAGAGAGAGGGAAATAGCAAGGATGATAAAGACCTGTGGCAGCTTTGTAAGCAGTATAGGAAGGCTATAGAGAGGATAAGTCAACCTTATCACAGTCATGATATAACATCTCATTATCAGGGAACATCTCAAGATAGCAAGAAGAGCAGAGAGAAGCAGGCATAGAATGAAACAGCAAAATAGAGTAAGATCAAGATTTACCTCAGACCCATTCCAGTTTACATCAAGATTGCCATGAAATAAAGTGTTCAGATTATTGAAATCTTCAAAGGAAGACGTTGAGAAGTATTTAAGGGAGACGCAGTGATCCACATAGGGAGGAAGAGTTAGGTGAGTGGGAGCAGTTGATACATTCGTATAAGAACCAAATTAACGCTTTGGTGAATCACAAACAAAGATAAAAGAAGTGGTAGATGTAATTAAGAAAGCCAGAGCAGCATCAGCACCAAATGGGGTTCCATAAAAAGTTTGCGAGAACTGTCAAAGGTTGACAAAGCACCTCTGGAAACAGATAAGAGTGGTTTGGAGAAGAAGTTGATTGGCAGATAGCTGCAACAGAGCATAAGTCTTTTTCCAAAAGAAGAGGCCTTAGAAGTACTGAAACAATTTATGACAATACTGCTCCTGAATGTAAAAGGGAAGATGTACCTTACAATTTTAGCAATGAGAATGTCTAGTTAGATGCTTGAGAATCAGTATATTGATATCACTGTGCAATAGGGAGGAGAACCTGAAGTATCAGGATGAATTGAGCATAAAAGTGTACTGACACAGATAATCCAGGAAACCAAAGAGTCTAAAGGGGAGTTGGCAGTCTTCTGGCTAGATCTAGCAAATGCATATGGGACAGTTCCCTATAAACTTGTTGAGCTGACACTCGAAAGATACCATGTACCAGAGAAGACATCGGCAGTTTTAAAAGACCATTTTCACACAGTACAGGATTACACTATAGCATGGCAACACTTAGAAGTTGGTAAAGTGGAGCAGAATATCAGAGGTCCATGGATGAAGTCAGGAGTACGCCAACCACCTGGGACAGCATTCATGGATGACACGACAGTTACAACCAAAACAGTTATTGAAGCCAAGTGGACAATACAAGAACTAGAATCAGCTATCACTTGGGCAAGAATGAAAGTAAAACCAAGCAAATCTCATAGTTTGGTTTTAAAGAATGGAAAAGTAAAAGAAAGGTTCAAGATTGAAGGAGAGGCAATACCAACAGTCACAGAGAAGGTAGTAAAATGTTTAGGGAAATTCTTTGGTTTGAACATATTTTATTGCACTAAATATACACAATGGGAAATTCTTTAATGACATATTAACAGACAGGTAAAATGTGAAAGAAACCTGCAGACAGCTGGATGAATAAATGAGAACTGTGGATAAAAGTGGACTGCCTGGTAAATATAAAGCTGCAGTTTATCAACACGGGATACTGCCTCACTTGGTATGGCTGCTACTCGTGTATGGTATACCAATGAGCACAGTAGATGGCAAGCAGATACCTGAGGAGATGGCTAGGGGTGCCATGAAGTTTCAGCAGCATGTGTTTATATAGCTCCAGGACTAAGCTACAGTTACCTCTAAAGTAATTAACTGAGGAATTCAAAATGACAAAGGTGTGTCAACACTTAATGTTACAGAATAGCAAAGACAAGAAGGCCTGGACAGCACAAGTCGGTATCAGGACAGGGGAAAGTGGTCAGTAAAGAAAACTAGAAGAAGCAGAATCCCGCTTGAGACACAGGGACATTGTGAGAAGACTGGCTATAGGAAGGCAAGGGCCTGATGTCAAACCAACAGCAATATGGAGAAAAGCTTCAGTAGAAGAGAAGTGCAGTTTGGAGCAGGAAGAAGTGTGTGAATAGAGGAAGACTCAAGAATGATGAAAGCAATTGGAATGAAGAAACAAGGTAGCTGGTTAAACTGGGAAAATGTGCATCACATTGTGATGGAATGGTATTTGGAAGATGGACCATTCAGGCTTCAGTTTAAGCTGAAATCAGTTTATGATGTTCTTCTTAGTCTAACTAATCTGGTAACATGGGGAGTGACTTATGATCCAAAGTGTGTCCTCGGTGGTAAACAAGCAAACTTGGAGACATGATAGAGTCTTAGCCAGTATACCTGACACCTTAAAGAAAGGTATCAAAAAGCCAAAGAAGAACAAAGAGGGCCTGAGATTTGTCAACTTTATGAAAGAAGGTGAAAAGGGACATAAAGTTAGTGTTGAAGGAAGTGGTCTGCTGGGAACAGCAAAAGATGGCAGATGTGGGCAGGCCTCCAGGAAAGATTAATATTTCAGTCAGAAATAATAGCTACAAACAAGAGGCCAGCTATAATAGTTTTGGTCAGTGGCTACAAGACAGACAATTATTTTGAAATTAACAGTGCCAAGGGAAGATAAAATGGACGACGCATACGAAAGGAAAAATCTACAGTATTAAGACCTTGTGAAGGATTGTCAGCATGGATGGATGGAAGGTCTGGTTTTTCTCAGTGGAAGTGGGTTGTAAAGGATTAGTTGGCCAATCTATGTAGAGGACACTGAAAGCCCTTGGAATAACGGGAGCAGAGAGGATGAGATTAATAGGGATTATGTGAAGGGAGGTGGAATCAGCGTCCATGTGGTTGTGGAGAAGAAGAGCAGAGAGGTGGAAAGATAATAAACTGTAGTGAGATAGACAGTAAAACAGAACAGCAGTGATGTAGAACAAAGTGGTTCCAGGCTGGGACCTGATCATCTCAGTCGGCACATCTCTGGAGGCTGTAGTGGACAGTGCCGAAACAGCCGATAAAGAAAGATCCACCTGTGGATGGAACCACGCATCTTTCCATCCAGATGTATTCAATCCTTGTGTGGTCCAGCGCTTCTTCTTTGTGTGGTCCTCTTCTTCATTGTATGGTCCTCTTCTTCTTTGTGTGGTCCTCTTCTTTATGTGGTCCTCTTCTTCATTGTATGGTCCTCTTCGTCATTGTGAGGTACTCTTACTCATTGTGTGTGGTCCTCTTTATTATGCAGTTCTCTTCTTCCCTGTGTGGTCCTCCATATGCAGCTTGTTTCTTATTGCCTTGGTCAATGTTGACTTGTTGACACAGTGGAAATCCTGTCTCCTGGTTATG